CTTTCAGCGTTTTCCTGTGGGGAAAAGGGGGTTGACAATAACAGATTGAAAAGCACTGAGGAGTGTCATATTACCGTTTTGTTGCTGCTGAGTTAGCTGACTTTGGGTCAGGCTCTGTGTGGGCTGAGAGGGCTGTTGTGCTGGTGGAGGGGGTGCTGATTCTGGCTGTTGCTGCTGGGCCGGTCGTCCCCGAGTCGAGCCAACTTTAAAACAGAACACGTAAGAGTCAGCGAATCACACTCGGACAAACAGAGACTATATCTGCAAACTGAGGCATCACAGGAGCACTCAAAACATGCCTATGATGCACAGAAATGCCGCTTAGGGTGACAGCTCACCAAGTTTTGAAACACAGCCAGCTTAGTATGCTAAGACAACTATAAGTCATGTGTAGTAAAACAGTCATTTTTACTATATCAAAATTTACTATATCAAAAAAAAAAAAAAATTTAATGTGTGCATAAATGAATCATTCACAATAAGATTAATAAAATGCATTTAAAAAAAGATGAATTGGTGTAGGGTGAATTTCCATTTCATGATGTTATTCTTTCGTAACCGAACTCAATATTCCTAAATTATTAATAAACTTTATTTAGAAAAATAAAATTTTGTTTAACAATAGCAATATACACCTGTCATAACCTTTCATGCGGCAATAAAGTCAAGTCTTCATTTTGACAGCCTTTGAGTTGGTGTATTTTTTTTTTATATATGCACTTTCTTCCAGTTCTGGTGAACTTGCCCCCATTGTCGACAAAACCTTATTGTTATTATTTATATTTATCATTTAACACCATATCAGCATCAAAGGCTAAATTCATGGCAAACTCAAGCAATAATAATAAGTAATAAATTAAAATATAAATAGTCATAAAAAATAATACTTCAGTAAATTATATACAATAGTCACAAAAACAAACAATAACAAAAAAGTTATATAAAATCAATATCATATTTGATATTTGTTAAAAATTCTAATATTTTCCAAGGAGAAGCTTTTTTTAATGTCCATTAATGTAATTTTTGAATAAAACTTTGCCTAATATTTAAATATGCTTTACAGTAAAGGAAGACTTTCAAATAAAAATCACATATAGCCAATTATTTCCCCTAGTGTTATTACAGTACATTAGATTTGTATAGTAACTTATAGCACTAAAAATGTTTAGAATTAGGCAATGAGGAAAAAAGTAGTTCCCAGTGTATGTTATAACGAATTTAGTGTACAGTCACAATGAAGTGCTTGTGGAGTGTGCACTCTCTGAAAAAACTGCATCATGAGCCTGACACATGCAAGTGCTGCCCCTTCACTCTGAAGCATCCAGCACATGCACACTACTTTTTTTTTTTTTTTACCTAAATCACTTTTGTGGATTAATAACTGCACATGGCCATACTCCAATTCATAACTTATTTCGATTTATTGTGCAGCCCTATTCCTAAGTCATATAACAACAAATATACCTCTATTGTCTCTGGATGGGATTTCACTCCTTCCCGGTGCAATAGTTCTACGATTCTGCACACAAACAAGTGTACAAAAAGGTTAAAAATATGCGAACAATTAGAATGCAAGTTCAACTTTTAACTCTGGCCTCATACAAACCTTAGGGATTTTGTTGACCTTCACAGAGCTGAGTGTAGGAGGCGGTGGTGTAACAGGGCTCAAGGAAATCTCCTCCTCTGGAGCAACATCTGGATTTAGTGAGAATATGCACTCCAAATCAATCTGTTATGAAAAAAAGAACAAGCTGTGAACATTACAAGAAGAAATCTGATCACTTTTTTTGCCAAATCATGCAGAATGCTCTAATCTTAAGGAGAAAAATGGTTCAGAGTACATGATAACAATTCATATTTGAAAGAAACACAGCATATGTGTCCACTGACTGAGAGTTTCATACTGAACCCTAACAACACCAGAATGTTGTTCTATCCATTATTAATGACACAGGCAGCTGAGAGGCTACTAGACTTACCTCTTTTCCTTTAGTGTCTCCATTTTCTATCCATTCCACAGAAACACTTTCATTATCTTCATTTAAAGAGGTCACCATGGCCTGGTGTATTCGCCCTGTAAGTAACCCAACATCTCTAAGTGTGAAAGACAAATTGAAAACATTCATGTATCCACTTAGAAATTTTACACATCTAATGGTAACTTGAAAAAGTGTTTATGTACATGATGGCATGTCAACAGCAATCTGCTTCTCAGGACACTTCAGAAGTTGTGCTATTACCTACTGAAAAGTATCAGAGCATCACTGAAAACAAACAGCCATGGTTCCGTATCTATTATCCAGAGCTATTCCTACTCACACGTCGACATCCCTGCAATTATTCAACAGCGGAATCAGCAAGAAAAAGCACATATTATCCTGCCATAAAACAAGCTATTTAAAACCGCTGTGTGCAACATCAGGCCAAAAGTTAAAACCCAGCTTGAAGTAAAGGCACATCTTTATGACGCTAGAGACCTCCTCTGTTAAAAGATGTCACAAGCACTGTTCATCTTCAGAGAGCATGTCAAGAGTCATCTCTATTACGCAATACATGAAACTTCCCAAAGAGACAGGAGTGGTTTGTCTATCACGTCAGACCCGGGGCTCACTTATTTCTTTGCTACAAGCTGAAGTTAAATATAACACAGCCTTCTCAAAGAGATCAAATCATCATCTCTTCTGACAGTCTTCCAAATAGTATTGATGCAAATACTAATGATACGCCACTGAATGCTTACAAGACACCAACACTAGATTTACTATATTTCTCTGGACTGTGACATCATTAGTAGAAATTGATACTTGATTACTTGTAATTACACAATTAATCTCAATCTTCATTAAACATCTTAAATATATTCTTTTTATTACCAATATAATACAGATTAGTAGCAGTAGTAGTAGTAGTAGTAGTAATAGTAGTAGAATTACTACTGTTCTTATTTAAATTTTGTGGTTGTTGTTAGCTTCCTAAATGGAAAAATAGTTTTCATCTTTGCCTTGGATCATCCTTTCTAACCTAAAAATAAATAGCTGTTATTTACACATTTAAGTAGTTGTCCAAACAGTACATCAAAAAGGTTACTTCACATGTGAAAGCCATTGTTTGGTTCTATTTCTGAGTGAATGAACTGTGAATATTGGTAATTTATTTATACATCTGTTTATAATAATGCAACTAATCCCAAGCGATGTTCCCTGTCTTGTTATGTACATTAAGCAATAATTTTTTTTATCCCAACCTGTCAGTATTTCCTTTGGCCACTAGGATGGAGTTTAATCTCTGAACCCACAGAATGGCACATCACATAACTTCAAGGAACTTGCTTGTCATCTTCAAATCGTTACACTTACAATACAGTCCGAATATTATGACTAGGCCTATATGAAAATTTAGAGTAAAACCAGCAACCTCCCTCTGTCCACAACCAATCTGTAAAACAAAACATTAATTTGCAAGTGACTTAAGATGGCTAACACACATAAATCTAGAATATACAAGACTTACTGATCATATTCCTTACCAATACAAGACATAAATAATTCCACACTAATCTGCATCAAGTAAGCCAGTTAATGGGCTCATATCAAGTATGACCGCACACATTATGAATATCTAAACAAACTCCACCCGCGTTTAGCAGGTGGCTAACGTAAGCCAACAGTTGCACTGTTGATTGACACAAGCTCGTCAACTACCTGGGCAACCAGCTCCAACAGACTGAACTTAACACTAAATCTCGATTTATACCAGGCCCAACCACCTAAACCTTCCGTTTCTGTCAGTTTTTTTGTGTGTGGTAACGTTAGCATCCGTTAGCCGAACCGGAGCAACGACTTTAACGGACGGTTACAGGCGACCCAAATATGAACTCACCATCGCTGCGTTTTATCTCCACATAAATCCCCATGACGATCTTGCCGAAGTTCACCGCCATGGCTCATTTATGGGACGGAGGGAATACTCAAATAGACAGGCGTGTGGGAACTAAAAACAGTGTTTGTGTTTGAATTTTTCACATTTGTTGCTCCGTGTTGCTCAAAACCGGGAGGCGGCCACAGCGCGGCACATAAAAGAGGGGTAGAGTTCACGGCGCGTGCGCGGGGGCCGTTCTACTTGCGTGTCCCCCCCCACAAGTCCCGCCTCCTGCGTCAGGATTGGCTAGAAGCAACTGGAGGTCTGCGATCTGACAGTTGAGGTAACCATAGCAACCACAGTAAGCGGAGGAAGCCGCTTTGCCTTTGTATGGCAAAGTTCTAGTTGCTAAATACTTCACTCAAATCTGAGTTGAGGAAGTTCTGACGTTTGCTTCCTTCATTTTTTGTCCCTCATCTAGAAATCCCAGTATTGCAAAAATGGGCTTTTACTTACACTTGCTGTCAGTTATACCCATTCGAGCATTAAAGCAGTTCAGTCTGCAGGCTGAAGCGGAGGAGAGATGGAAGACACCGCATTAATTAAAAACAAACCAGCCCGAATCAGGTGACTTCATCGTTCCGTTTTCCTTCTTTGTTCTCGATTTATAAATGTCTCAATGAAATTTCATGTTTTTCGTGCATTTATTTATTTATGTTTATACCTCCTAGACATGGCAGGCTATTCCTTGCGGTTTTTTCAGCTGTTTTGGGCAATTTTACTTTTGGGTTTGCCTTAGTGTTCCCCTCCCCTGTCATCCCCCAGCTTCAAAAGGGTGATGACCCTCGGCTGCAAATGGACATCCATCAAATATCATGGTTTGGTGTAAGATTAGATCATTAATGTGTCTAAAGATAGAAGATGTTTTCAGCTGTAAACATACAGTAAAAATACATCTTTGTAACTAGTTTCTCTTTTGTTTGTTAGTCAATTTTCACCCTTGGTGCAGCCTTAGGGGGTATTAGTGCCATGGTGCTGAATGACAGAGTTGGGAGAAAAATAAGCATCATGTTGTCAGGAGTACCGTCTGCTGTAGGTCTCCTTGTGATGGGGGCTGCACAAAACTTTTGGATGTTATTATGGGGCCGATTTCTGACTGGAATCGCTGGTGGTATCACGGCTGGCTCTATTCCTGTAAGTTATCTGTTAGTCCATCTTGTTTATCGATTGATGAATATGCCATTGTAAACACTACAGTGCCACTGCAAAATGCAATTGTATTATTATTATTTAGTTTTTTAGTAAGTTTGATAAAAATGACAGTGGCATGAAATAATGTAAAGATAATAGGTATTGATAATAAACATGTCTGCTGGCCTGCCACAAAAACAAATATAGTGTAACCATTGATTTCTGAACAATTGACAAATGAATTGGTTGCAGAGACTCACATTTGTGAGTTATTGCAAGGTTTCTGCAGGTCTTCCATGAATTAAGGCCTTAAAAAGGTCTTAAATCAGAGCAGAAATTGATAAAGTCAAGGCATTAAATGTTGCTCGCATTGCTAAAAATCGATGTATTCCTCAGTATTTTTCTCAGTAATACAAATATCTATCTAAACATCCTTAAATCAAAATAGATGTACTTGAGATTCAAAATGAAGATTTGAAGTCTTGTTTTCTGAAAAAAAAAAACTTTTTTTAAAACAAACAAATATCTGGTACAGTAAAAGTTATTTTCATATTCTAGTGTTTGGGAGAAGAGGTATTCAAGCCTTAAGTTATTGTTTTTATGGGGATCAGTAGGAAGTTGTATTTTCAAACTTTGAAGTGTTGTTACGACTCAATGTAATACAACTTTAAAGAACATATTGACGTTTTGTGATGTCTGCAGTTTATTCCTTAAATTTTCTTTCCTTGGTCTTAAAAAATCTTTAAAAAGAAAATTTTAAATTTACCTCCATAAAACTATATATACTATAGAAACCCTATATTAGTTTCTATCTGAATTATTTGCTGAATCCATGAGATCTGATGGATGTTTATACGACACTGTGTTGTTAGATATAGCCTACAAATAAGGGTTTCATTGTAACATATGGGATTTTAATTAAAGAAACATCATAATATATTAGTGGTTGCAGTTTTATGCCTAGATCTCAGTAACATCAGTTGATGTCTTTTCTCATAGGTGTACGTGTCAGAGATTTCACACCCGTCTGTGAGGGGTGCGCTGGGTTCATGTCCTCAGATCACAGCTGTCTTTGGAAGTCTAGCACTCTACGCGCTTGGTGAGAGAGCTCATATTTCTCAGGTTGTTTTGGTTGTATGATGAAACACACTTTCTCCAACACTTTAAAGGATTTCCAAGCATTTTTCAGATACATTATCCTAAACATTCTTTATAAATGATGCTATTTTATGGTCTCTCTCCAGGTTTGGTTTTGCCGTGGAGGTGGCTGGCTGTGGCTGGGGAGATCCCGATTGTTATCATGATGATTTTGCTTTGCTTCATGCCGACCTCCCCACGTTACTATGTAATGAAAGGAAACAGAGCAAAAGCAGTTAAATCGCTAGAATGGCTCAGAGGCCCCAACTCTGATTACTTGACCGAGTTCAATAAAATTGAACGCAGTATCAATTCTCAGGTAAAAGGCACATTGCGGTGGATTACATCATGTTATTAGGGTGGTTTTGCCATAGAATTAAAAGGTCATGCAAATAGAATTAAATAAGTGAGAATATTGTATAGTAATAACAGTTGTATTGTACTGTTTTTATTCACAAACTTCAATATTCAAAAAGCTTTAGATTAAAAAAAAAGCTATTTAAAGTTTTGATGCATTTAATTTTTTATTGCATAATATTATAACATGACTTATATACAACCTCTCAAGGCTGTTGGTTAAAATTTAAAATGCAAATTTCACAGAAGGGGGTTTGCTGCAGTATTGCAGGGGGACTGCCAATTATTGCTTGGAATTAAGAAAAAATTCAAATATGCATTATATAAAAATAGAATATTAAATTACTTGCATGTTCTCTCCAACAGGGCGCTCAATGGAGTGATCTTAAAACACCTTTATACTATAAACCAATTCTAATCTCAGTCTTCATGAGATTCCTGCAGCAGATGACTGGTATAACCCCAATTCTTGTATATCTGGAGCCCATCTTCCACATGACAGCTATATCACTAGTATGTCATAAAGAGTTTATTCATTCACACTGTGAAATACCTGAAAGCACATTAATCCACCTAAAAAACTGATGTTTTATTGCCATTTAGGAACCGAAATATGATGCAGCATTAGTGGGAGTTGTAAGATTGATGTCTGTTGTTATCGCAGCCAGTTTGATGGACAAAGCAGGTCGAAAAGCTCTACTGTTCACCTCAGGTTTGTGTAGAATTAAAGAACAAAGTATTATATTTGGTAAATGTAATTCATTGGGAAAAAAACAAAAACAAACAAACATATTTTTTCCTTCAGGATTTTTGATGTATATAGCCATGCTTTCAATGACCATGTACACCCACAAAACATCATGCAGCCATGGCAATCTTACCGTAACCGAGGGCTTGACGAGCACTTATGGAGGCTCAACAGGCCCTGCCTTCGATCCAATAACTCTAATTCCTCTAATTAGCTCTATGGTCATCATATTTGGTGAGTTTTTAGGAAGTTTGTTCATATACAGTGTGACCAGTTCACTTTGACTTACTGTAGAAGCTTTTTGTGGCTTACTTACTTCATTACTTCATTTTTAGAATTAGTTCTAGTACTGTTTCTTCATGTATAATATGATGCAGCATAACATTGCTGATGAATCTCCTATGCAGGTTATGCTTTGGGTTGGGGTCCAATCACGTGGCTGCTAATGTCAGAGATTTTACCCTTGGGTGCGCGTGGTGTAGCATCCGGTTTGTGTGTTGGTGTTAGCTGGATCACAGCCTTCATTCTGACACAACTCTTCATGCATGTGGTGGTGAGCTAAATCTCTTTTTTACACACATAGAAACTGGAATTGGAAAATACCTATTTTTAATAACTTACCTAACAACACATACAACAACATGATCCATGTTCAAGATCATTAAAAGATAATATAACCTGCTCTTGATAATACTCATGTTATGCATGATTATATTTCTTCAGATTTTTCAGATTTTTTTCTTTCTGACTGTTTCAATTTGTAGTATTTTTCATATACATAGTTGTGTGAGTTTTTAATAAGTATAGCTATAAAAGACAAACTTGATAACATATATCTTTTCATATAGGAGGCCTATGGACTCTTTGCACCTTTCCTGTTCTTCTGTGTCGTCTCTGTAGTGAATATCATTTTCACAGCTAAATGTGTGCCAGAAACTAAAGGCCGGACTCTGGAAGAAATTGAGAACTATTTCAGGACTGGCCGAACCTTCACTATTCTTGATTCATAATATGTCCATTTTGCAGCGATGCTGTGGCACTATTTAATCCACAACAAACTAAATGATGTTTTACCCAAGTTGTGAGTTTGCCCGTTTGAATGTGGTGAGATAAAATGACTGGGTGATGCCAAATAATATACATTTATATATTGCACTGTCTTTATATATATTTAGATATATGAGCTACATAATTGCTTTATGAATGTTACGCTGATGTAAATACATTAATATGTAAAATCTGTCCAATGTACATTTATTAGAAGGATGTACTGTATAGAGTCATATGAGTGTACACTTATCTAAAGGATATCAATAAATGTGTGTATATACTGTATATATAATGTCTCTATCATGCTCTCAGTTTCTATGTTAAATATGAACATGTGGTTTGGCACTTCACTTCTCTTTCACTATTCTGCAATTCTTTCCATCAGTGTGACCAAACTAAACCTATATTGCACAAAATGTGTTTGTCCAGGAGCAAAAGTACAATGATAAGGAGAAGTTCCCATGGGTGTGGACCACAGCTAGAATTGAGCAAGACTTCAGCTAAATTAATTCTGGCCTTTGTCATGTCCTGATACGTACATAAAGATTTTGGATTAATTATTGTTTATCACTTTACTTAATGCTATAGCTATGCACAAAAATAATGATCTGTTTCTTAATTATACTTCCTGTTATTTGTTTTTTTCCCCAAACAATTAAATAATTCTCCAACCTTCTTACACAATTAATTGCATATGCTTTTTATCAGTAAGCATATTTTTCTAACAAAGGTTTGCTGTTTAAAAGAGAACAATGTTTTGTGTCATTGACAACTTTGAGAAGATTCCTCTTTCTGCTTTCATACTGTATGATGCCACAGTGCATCCTGTCAATCAAAACTAAAGCATTGTTATGCACCTGTGTTACATACTACTACATTTGTCAATGTTAAAGATTTGTCAAAACACCTAGGTGGTATGCAGTGCATTATTTATCTAATAGACAAATATTCATCATTCTTATTTGCCACTTTTCAGTCACTTAGATTGATTTCCTTCCACCAATGAATGGCAGATTTAGGCATAGATAATATTAATATATTGTCACTTTTTAAATTAAATTTAATTAAAATGGCATAATACTAACTGTTAAATTTTGGGAAATAATAAAAAAATAATAATATAAAAAAGTCAATTGAGTTCATTTGACCTCAATGTCTAATGTAACCCAATTCTCAATGGCGCTTATCCAAGAGTTAAGTTGCTTACATGTACAAAAAAGCCTTTAAGGAAAAATAATGTGATACAGGTTTGGCTTTAGGCTGCTTTATTGGTTTCTATTTAGTAAAGGTTTCCCAAAAATCTTAATATATAACTACATACATAAGACTGACACTGGCCTATATGTTATATAAGGATGTTATTTCTTACATTACACAATCTGAAAGATCAAACCTGTCATACATATATAATTTCATAAATATACACATTAACATAAATAATTTATTTATTGATGGGTGAATGTGTGGATGTTTTACTTATAAATATCACGGTTGTTTGTCCATGGTTGTGTCAGGAAACATTTTAATTAATTGTGAAACTTACGTTGTGATTATTAATAAAATAAATGATGATTTAAAACATAACAGTCTACCAAAATATTTTAAAATCACTAGGCTACATGTTTAAAACCTAATTAAAATCATCACTGTCTGGTTTCCTGGCTTCACGAACTCATTCAGATTGCATGCATGTGAACGTTTTTATTCCGTTGTTTTTTTTTTACCGTTTTTTACGTAACACTCCGTAGAAAGTGGCTGTGCAGTCAGAAGAACAATAGAGACATCAGCACCGGGTTACTCAAGAGAACTGAGGGACCCTTCCAGTGAGTTTCATAATTAGGTTGTGTAAGGGCACGTTGACGTATGAGGGCTTTGGAAGCCAGCGGGCTACAAAAATGAAGTTCCTTGCCGCACTGAAAACATTGATTTAACCCCCAACTCGGACTGTGAACCAACCATGAAAACGAACAGAGTGATAGTAATTGGAAGTCAAGTCATTTCAGCCGAACTTGTGACAGGACTATTAATCAGCATTGTTCCAGTTTGGCTTTTTCCTCAGAGGTGGTTCTTTGCGTGTGTAAAATCATGCACTTATATAATGTGTTGTAAGTAAATGTTAATAAGCGAAATGAAAATAATAGTTTTGTTTGAAAATGTATGCCAAATAACAAACAATATATTTCATTTATGAAAAATACCAGGTACTATACTAAAGTAGGCCTATCCGATACTGCAGTTTTTAAACTGGAGGAAATAGTGAAAGTCGTTAGGGGAAGTTCACATATAACTATTCAAAAACAGTTTGAATGGAACAGAACGCGTGGGTCTCGAGACGCGTTATTTAACACGCGTTGTAAACGCGACGCCGACGCGCTCCGTCCTAATTGAGACGAAGCGGCTAAGAAGTTGCTCAGAATGTTTGTTATATTATAATGTTTATTATATGTTTTATTCTAGTAGCCATAACCGTAGTAACTCATACGTCAACTTGGCGGAAATTATTGTTACTGTGATAATTCTTTTGTAACGCGTTATACGCTTGTGTTGCAGGGGGAAGGCGTCAGTGACGAAGGCGCGCAGTTTGAAGTAACGCGCTCACTCGTATGTGTGTGGGTTGCCAGTAATGTTAACGCACTGGATAGCTGGCCAATCACAGCACACCTCGCTTTTCAGACCGATGAGCTTTGTAAAAATCGACGCCCTTCAGAAAGGCGGGGCATAGAGGAGAAACAATAATGTACAGTATGTGGAAAATAATGTGTTTTTTGAACCTTAAACCGCATAAACACATTTCATTAAACCAAATACACAAAATAATGTTCTTTTTAGCAACATCATATGACCCCTTTAAGTTCATTTTCTTCAAAAACAACAACCATTCACTTTCTCTTTCTGCTCATTCCATCTCAAGGCTTGTGGTAAGTGCAACGCACACGCTCACACACACACGTAGATCAACATATATTCTCTGGAACTTTTAATTCAGTTTCTAGGTAATCTGATAGTTTAAAAATGTACTTCACATGGTAAAGAAATTAACTGGTTTTATTCTAATTAAAATATTATTTCATATTCTACTTGACTTGACTATATTAGATTACCAACAAATGTGTTTTATAAAGGTTGGGAAGTTACTTCTTACTGCTGTAACAACTACAAAAAGTGGATACATTCAGTTGAGAATATTTGTATCTGATAAGACACTTAAAATGACTTTGTGTAATTTAATGTAGTCAGGTTGATACAGTTCTATTACTTTTAAAAAATGTATAAATATATTTTTGTACATATAAATAATTATTAAAATCATGAAGCACATTTTAAGCTACCTGACAAAACATTTTTACATTGTAGTTCTGTAGTATATATTCATGTGTGTTTTGTTAATAAAATCATCCAAATCATTTATTCCTCAAACATACACTACCGTTCAATAAGTCTGGGATTGGTAAAATGTATTTTCTAAAATAAAATTGTAATTAATACTTCTATTCATCAAGGATGCATTAAATTAACCAAAAGTGATTTCTGAAGGATCACGTGACACTGAAGAGTAAAAGAGCAATGACTGCTGAAAATTCAGCTTTGCTATCACAGGAATACATTTCATTTTAAAATATATTAAAACAGAAAACCGTTATTTTAGTTGTAATAATATTTCACAATATTACTGTTTTTATTGTATTGTGATAAATAAATAAATGATAAAAGAAATAAATGCAGACTTGGTGTGCATAAAAGACTTTTAAAAAAATCGCACTGACCCCTAAACGCTTGAACAGTAGTATATATATTTAAATGTTGCATTGTTGTGTAATGACTTTGATTACTTAATTTTAAGGGAATTAATTATTATTAATTCATTCAGGTTTTGATAGGACTCGGGTCTGAATCCCCGAAGCTCACCTGATTAAACCGATTTCAAATTTGTTATGTTACACTTTAAATCAAGGGTCGTCCAGCGAGCCGGTGATTCTTAGTATATTTTAACAATTTGAATATCTGTATTCCCCCTGGCCACGGGTTAATTAATACGATTATAATAATGTGTAAGCTCTTAGAGAGGTAACGTAATCTTTGGCAAAGGGTTTAACCTTAAAATTATATGACACCAAACAATGATTCTTTATAAATGAAACATGAATTTTATTGGCTAATCTAGATTACATCAAAACTACGCTAAAACACACATACACACAAACATACAGTTTCTTTAGAATGAGAGTTGACGGGGTTGCATGACGTTCAAAGTTCTAACTCGTCTTCACGAGTGATTTAAATTCACCTGAGAGAATTCACAAAGCAGATATTTTCTTATCTTTACTGCTTAACTAACTTCACCAGTGTCAGTTCAGCAGATAGAAGATTTTGTTTGTTTACTTGCGTTCTGCTTGGTTGACAGCTGAAAGCTGAGTTTCCTGGTTTGGCTGCTTGAGGGAATTCCGTTGCTGATTGGTCGCTGAGGTGACGTCGGAATGACGTTTGAATGACGTCCTTTTGGGAAAGCCCTCCGGAGATTGGTTGGCTTCTTGATGACGCGGAGGCTTCAGCAGTTTTGCTACAGTCTGAGTTTGCATTAAGTTCTTTGAAGATCGTGTTTCTCTGAAGTGTTTGAGTTTTGGATGACCGATCGCTTTGATGGTATGCGTGTGAGCACAAGTGGGAGTGCTCTTAACACGGCGACAGGCGAAAGCAAGTGAGCAAATCTGTTCTGCATTGGGTTTTGATCCGCGGCATAAGTCCGTCCCACGACGCGACCTTCCAATCGCCTTCTTGCCAGGCGGAGCGTGCATACATTAACAAGAGGCTCCCATTTATTATGTGGAGGAATGAAGATTTGCAGGTTTTGTTAATAACTTCTATATAGTGTCGTACAACACATACTGTTTGAAATAACAGCTTTTCACTTATTTCAATATTCTGCAATTATCACAAGTTTACGTTCAATACTAAACTTCACATATCTTACACACATATTAATAACCTCATTTCCTACA